TTGGACCCTTAGGGGAATTTGAACTGTGGAAACCCTCCAGGCTCGGTCTTACTTTCAAACCTGGAGTGCTCAACGAGGCAAGCGGAAACCGCCCCAGCCCAGAAAAGAAGCTGGCATTCAACAAGTGTAGGGTTCAGGGTTCAGGGTTCAGAAAGTTTAGGGTTCAGGGTTTAGGGTTCAGGGTTCAGAAAGTTTAGGGTTCGGGGTTCAGGGTTCAGGATTTAGGGTTCCGGGTTTCTCGTCTAGGGTTCACGGTTGTAAGAGCAGGATCCCGAGACCCTACAGGCCTAAGCACCCGAGACTTGGGCTTGAAGATCCCAACCAGACACCCTAAACTCTAAACCCTAAATCCCTACCTAAAGACAGTGTTCTGCGTTGTTTGGGGCACCTCATTTGTTGTATTGGGTTCTGGGAACCCTGGGGATTAAACACCCCGCCACATAAATAATTATACCCTAAACCCTGAACAGCGTTCTTCCAAGGGGAAGAGGATAGCTTCACATTGTAGGGGCAGGGGTTGTTTAGGTTTAAGGTCCGGGTTGTAGGGACCTCGCAAAGGGGAGTCACAGTTTGGGTGTAGGGGTGCAGGGATTTGTCACAATTATCTGAATGATAAGTAAGACCATTTTTGGAAGACCTTGTAAGTGTCAGATTCCCATAGGGTATGTATTATATGCGTGGGTGTAACTCTTTTTTTTGCTGATTGCACCCTAAACCCTAAACTATGGATGCCGCACCCTCAGGAAAGATCAACCGCTCGATCAAGTGCTCGCGACACTGATGCCTACAAGTCAGCGAAAGAGTCCTGGAACCGCTTCGCTGAAGATAACAGGCTTCGTCGGGGCTTCATGGGAACCCTCAATAAAGGAATGTGCCATCCAGTGTCGATGTCATTCTCAAATCTATTATCCACTTGTTTTCCATCATGGTAACTACACCAGTGCAAACAAAACTGTGTTTTGCAGGTCCGGCTCGGTTTGAGACATTGATGGTCCAGGGTTCAAGGGCAGTCTTGAATTTGCGGCACTTGTACACTGTAGTCAGTTTCCCACGCTGCTTAGAACACCCTAAACCCCCAAACCCTAAACCTCAAACCGCCCCGTAGCTTAGAGAAGCCTCCAAGTGAACATTAGATGTTTAGGGTCTTCGGCCCCAAATTCTTGAAGCTTTGACCTCCATGGGTTTTGGTGTGGTTCCAGTGTCCATTCTGCTGTAAATGCCTTAAACCCTAAATCCAAAGCCTTCAAGTCCTTGACTTCAGGAAAAATCTTAGGCCCAAACCCTTATTAACGCAACCAAACCTGGAGGCCCAAACCCTCGGGCTCTGGGTGTATACCCGAAAGCCTAAGCCCTAAACCCTAAGCCCTGAAGCCTTACCCTAAACCGCCAAAGAATGTGATTTCAGGCCTGCAAGACTATGCTCTGAATGGCTATTGTTTGGGTATTATACCCGTGTTGAACTCTAATACCTACTTGGGACTATTTGGGGCCCGGAGGTAAAGCTTCAAGCTTGAAACAATAGGCATCGATGGGCGGATTTAGATGCAACCATCCTGAAGATGCACGAGAAAGTTGCCAGAGCATGCTTAGGATGACCTTTGGTGTTGGTGTTTCGGCACGGCTTTTGAATTAAGAGTTTTGGTGTTTAGTTCAGGGTTGGTTATCACATTCTTTATCCCCGGCTCTGGGGATTTTAGTTGGCGAGCTCACAACATTTAGAATTATTCACAGGTTGGATATTATGGAAGCACTTTCTTGTTTTCTAAGAAAGTCCACGGGCTGGTGCATCATTTAGTCAAATTTCTGAAGCTCTCATCCTAGGGCTTCTTCGGATATCTGCGGATGAGCTTCAGAGTAACCTGACCTTGGGGCTCTGGATGTGTAGGCACTACCTATCTAGGGTATAGGGTTTAGGGTTTAGGGTTTTAGGCATTTGGGGTTGCCTACAGGTGGTACATGCGTTGGGCGATTTGGATGCCTGTTGCCAGAATCGCCTAAAGCAATTTCCTCATCATCCTTCCATAGCTAGTATAGCATGGCACTGCATGCCCCAAAACCTTGTTAAAATCATTTAGGCCCTACATTAGGCTAGTAAGAAGCCTTCAAACGGGCCGTCAGATCAAAGGATCTTCGATTTTGTGTCCGGCACGTCTAGTCAGGTAAGATAACCTGAAGGGTCCAAGGACCCAAACCCAAACTAGGGCCCAAATATTACATTATAAGTGGTATGTGGCACCTAAAGCCCTATTATTTTGGTCCTTGGACCCTTAGGGTAAGTTGCCCCAAGCCGCAGAACAAGGACAGTGTGACTGTCGTGTAACTCTTGCAGGTTCTTCAGTAAAGGGATGGTGTTAGAAAAAGCCTCCTACAAAAAAGGACAGAGTGCCCCCCAACGTGAATCCTGCCTATCCCTTAGGTCCAAGTATCCAAACTCATGAAATTCCCCAAATGAAAATTAAATGCCGGTAGCGCTTTTGCTAAAGAAATGTTGAGCATCCAACCGTTGCCTACTTGGCATCAACATGATCCACACATAGTCCTTAAGGGGGCCACTGCAAACTTTCTGTAATTTCCAAGCACCTAAGGTTTCCATGGTACCACTAGTTTTGAAAGCCCACCATTTCAGAGTCCCAGTTACCTCAAGAGTACTCCCTGCATCCCCCATAGAGTAACTTCATCCCTGGAAAAACGGCAAGCATACCACACTCTGTTAGGTGCAAGGCCTTTTTTTTGTTTGGCTAAATTGGTTGTGTCAGGCAAAGCCTAGACTCTCAACCCTAAACCTCTCATAGGGAATCAAGAATCCTGAATAATTTTCAACAAGTTATGGTCCCAGAATCCGAATATTGAATTACAGTATAGGGTACTCCAAATGAACCTGAACATGATAGTGGTCATTTATTCAGGCCCCTACATTACATAATCCCTTTTTAACCCCTACATATGACCCCAATGAACCTTAAACCCTTAACCCCCAAATCCTAAACCCTTAGCCCTTGTTAATGCTTTAGGCCCGCACAGCACCCACCCAGGTTAATGAGCAAATGAACTCCATCTCAAAGAAGGTGGCCTGACCTATCTTTACCAGTTAAGCTTCAGGGTTTAGCGTTGTGGACGCCTACAGCCCTAAACCCTAAACCCTAATGCCGAAGTACCTAGTAGTAATATATGCATTTCAAAGGTGTACAAAACTAATAACACTACTAGTACCGAAGTCCCCAGTACCCAATAATTCGATACATACATCCTTAGGGTTAAATAGTACAGGTTTAGGGTTTAGGGTTTTTAGGGTTAGGGTTCCGTGGAACTTGGATGTTTCATTCTGCTTTCGAATTTCTGTACGTCTTGGCGTAGCGGGACACTAGTGTACCAACCTCCTGGCTCCAAAAATGTTTCTACAGTGGATACTAAACATCCTACCTGACCCTCAGTACCCTAAAGGCGTCAGTTATGGTGTCATGGTATGCCAGGCCTCGCAAGGTAGATAGTATCACTTGGGGTACCCAAATAGGACACCTATCGGCGGCAACGTGTCTATCGACGAGCCCAGTGGTTCCCAAGTTAGGTATTAGATAGATACTTGGACCCATACGTTTACAGGGATTTGGTAGATATTTTTGGCCCAAAGTAAATATGCTTGTGCACTTTGACTCTTAACTAAGAGGTCCATGAGTGTCCTAGGTATATATCATTTACAGTCGGGTTTGTGGAAATATGCGAATGTTTAAGCCCTAGGCCCTAAACCCCAGACCCTAAACGCTAGGGCAGGAGTTGAAGCTTCAGCGCTCGACATGTTGTTTGGGGGAAGCGGAGCAGATCGGAGAGCTAAGAATATAGTCCCTCTTAAGTACATAAAAATATGGCTTTGGGGTGTAGGGTTTGGGGATAGACTATGGCTGTGGGTATATTATAATGAGATCCCCATATACCCCCTATTCTATCTACTTAAGGGAGACTACGTATAGCACACAATCTTGCTCTACCTATGACCAGATCCCGTCAGAGCCCTGAAATCTAAGGAGTGTCCCACGAGTTGGTACGGCATTTAGGGTTAAGGCTTTTTGGTGTGGGCTTCGAAGTTTCTAGGTTTAGGGTTTAGGCTTTTTGGTTTAGGTTTCTGGCTTTCTAGGTTTAGGGTTTAGGCTTTTTTAGTTTAGGTTTCGAGGTACCCCAGTAATACTCCTTGTCCCTTTTATTTGGGGTCTCGTTATTAGTGCTAAACATTAGGAATAGAGTACGTTCATTACGAAGGGGGGTTACTGGGAAACCTAGGTTTAGGTCATCCCTATAGAGGCCCTCAACGCTAAATCGCAAGATCTTCCATATGAGCTATAGTCTAAACTCCTAGTATCCCCCTTAATAACCCCTATAGCAGTCCCCTATATAATCCCCTATATAACCCCCCTTTAAGGAGTTTAGACTAGAGCTCATATGAGGTTTTCCAGA